GGAAGAATAGAAAAGGAAGAATAGAAAAGGGAAACAGACCGCCTATACAACATCTTCCAACAAAATGGATATCCACGCAACTTTATCAAAAAGTGCTTGACCACTCAACCAACTACAACACAACCTACACAAGCTACGAAAAGGATCACACTACCATATATCAGAAACGTCTCAGAAACCACCAACAGACTATTACAACCACATGGCATCTCTGTAGCACATAAACCAACAAAATCACTCCAAAATACCCTAAGTAAACCAAAAGACCCAGTAGCACAAGAAGGAAAAATGAGTCATCTACAACATACAGTGTAAGGACTGTAACAAACTCTATGTAGGACAGACAGGCAGAAGACTAGCAGCGCGTATCCACAAGCACCAACTAGCAGTCAGAAGACATGATGAAAACTCCTTAATCTCACAATACATGGACAGACTATCTGGGTGATGATTGCTGGTGAGGCAATCTTCTGGTCTTTTGTCTCCTTTGAATAGTATGTAGATGCTGTTTATCTCTGTGTGTCTGTTAAAAACGTCTCAGAAACCACCAACAGACTATTACAACCACATGGCATCACAAGGCAGCAATTAACAGACACACAGAGATAAACAGCATCTACATACTATTCAAAGGAGACAAAAGACCAGAAGATTGCCTCACCAGCAATCATCACCCAGATAAGCAAAGGTTACCACAGAGCACACAAGCAAGCAGTAAACAATACCCTAATCAAGGAACTACCAGAGGAGCGAAACAAAACTCCCACCCCCACCAGCACTGGCAAGGCATGCCACAGTATATAAACAGAGAGCAAACCCCAGCCCATTTTAGCACTGAAGATGTTACCTAGCTGGGTAATGAAACGTTTGCAAGAAAAGAACCAAGCTCAGAGGACTCCAAGGACTCCGCTACCATTTTGACTAATCCCTAGCAATATCTCACTGTTCTTCCAAGGACACACCAGTAATCTCTTTGTCTCAATCCCTCCATCTATCTCTTGTCTTCCCCTTCTTCTACTTTCCTTGTTATTGCAAGTGCAGTTGTTTTTTCTAGCC